CAGGTTTGAACCTGCCACCCTTGGTATATGGGGCCGGTGCCCTGCCCACTGAGCCACAGGTACTGCCCTCAGCTATGTTGTTTTTGTTGTTGTTGTAGTTGTCATTATTGTTTAGTAGGCCCAGGCCAGTTTCAAACCTGCCAGCACCTGTCTATGTGGCCGGCGCCCTAACCACTGAGCTATGGGCACCAAGCCTCATTCACTAACTTTTAACTAAATAGTGAAATTTATCAGTTAACCTGACTTGTGCTCCTGCCTCCCATCCCTGTTGTGGTCCAGTTGGCAAAATGATACCAAACCCACTTCTCAGATTGTCTAAAGATGAGATACACTATAACCTATTGTGGCTCCTGAAGACATTCAAGGTCCTCCTTTGTGTTCTTAGTGGTCTCTCATATGCATAGCACAATGCTATACATAGTATGAGCTTGATAAATATTTGTTGGATGGAGGGATAGAGAATGTAGCAAATGTGACAGTCAGGAAGCTGGGCTTCTTTTTGGTAAGGTGCTGATTCTCCAAATCTGGCAATGCCCTTGGCTGCCCAGCAGGAGTGCGACAGTTTCCACAGTTGCATGATAGGGATCCACAAACATGTTTGAACAGATATACCAATGAAACCACCATTTCTGAGCCTGGCGATCCAGCCCATAAAGGATTACCATAAATACCAAGATCTCCTGGCCAGGCTCAAGAGCTTAGAGGAAAGGATGATTTCTCTGTGCTGCAGCCCAAGGCAAGATTCTAATTCATTCACTCACTCACTCATTCCATCATTCTCGTGGGCTCCAAATTGTCACACAAGCTCTGGTGTTGAAGATACTGCAATCCTGTAGTGCCTATCACCATTGCCTCCCCCTTAATACTTGCCACAATTGTCTCATACCCTAGTAAGGTAGCCTATCTCCATTCACGTTAATTCTCTTCGCACTCCACTTTCAGGCATTGAGCAAGAGCAAGAAAGCTCAGGTAAGAGGACCCATGGGGTCACTGTGACCAGGAGACTGCCTTGGTGGAATATTCATGTATGCTGGGATTTCCTTGTACTGGTCTGTCTTTCTCTGTGTGTGCCCTCATGTCTGCAACTACCTGGCTGCCATGTGTTTCTTTGTCATCATTTTACTGTGGTTTTTCTTGAACTTTGTGCCTCTCTCTGTGTGTATCTTTTCTTCTACTTTCTCTGTCTTCTCTCTCCAACCTTTTCTTTGTCTTTTCCCTGCCTTGTTCTATTTCTGTCAGCTTTTCTGTTTTTTCCATTTCCTACTCTCTCCGACTCCTTGTTTCTCTTTTGTCCCAGTCCTCTGTTGCTTCCTAACTCATTTGTTTCCCTGACCTACTCCATCCGCTACCTCTTTTCTGTTTTGTCCCTGCTGATTTCCTTCTGTTCCTTTTTTTTTTTTTTTTTTTTTTTTTTTTTTGAGACAGTCTCAAGCTGCCGCCCTGGGTAGAGTGCTGTAGCTTCACAGCTCGCAGCAACCTCAAACTCCTGGGCCCAAGCGATTCTCTTGCCTCAGGCTCCCAAGTAGCTGGGACTACAGGTGCCTACCACAATGCCCAGTTATTTTTTGGTCCAGGCTGGATTCAAACCTGCCAGCTCTGGTGTATGTTGCTGGTGCCCCAGCCACCTGAGCTACAGGCACTGAGCCTCCTTCTGTTCCTTTCTCTCTGTCTTTATGATCTTTCCTTTTCTCTCTCTCCTTTTCAATCCCTTTCTCCTTGCCTATCTTTCCCCCTTTCCTCATCTCTCTCTACCTCCTCTCTCTCCTGTCATTATCTTCCCCACTTTCCCTCCACTCTCTCCCTCCCTGTCTTCCCTTCTCTCTCCCTCCCCATATTTCTCTCTTCCTCTCCCTATCTCTCGTTTTATCCCTACTTGTGTCTTGTCTCTGCTGCATCACTTCATTCTCTGTACTCTACATCCTATCCTTCATGTCATTTTCTCCCTCTCTCTGTTTCTTTGTCCTACCTCCCCATCCTTTCTGCCCTTGTTGGAGTCCTAGTTCATGTCTGCCACTGCAGGAAGTCGAGGTACTGCTGAATGAAAATGAGATGCTGCAGGCAAAGCTGCACAGCCAGGAGGAGGACTTCCGTTTGCAGAACAGCACGCTAATGGCCGAGTTCAGCAAGGTGCTGGTGCCTGGGATAGCTGAGGGGAAAACCAGGGGTTGAGGTTGCCTGGGCTAAAACCTGACAGCTGCAGTGTGTGGCTGGACAGGGGCTAGCCTTGGAGCGCTGTCCGTGGTGCTGAAATAGGTCCTGGATTGCTGTTGGGGGGCAGTAATTTGACAGATGGGGCCACTGTCTGGGGGGCTTTGAGCTCTGAGGTCCATTGGTTCCTGGCCAAGTCACTCCTTTTCTTTGTGCTTCAAGTCTCCATGTGTATAATTTGGGGGAGATGCTGTGGAGCCTCAAGGTGTTGGGGTTGGAGGCTTTAAAAATTCTTGTCCTTAAAGTGGGGTAGAAAGGTGATCTAGCTGCTTCCCTTTTATCTTTCCTCCCTTCTTCTGACATGAGCCTGGGGTTCTACTTCTTCCAGATAATTCATCCTGAATCAGCTGATTCTATCTCCTTACTGATTTTAGTGTCCTGGCTTCCTGGCTGTTTCTATTTTCTTTCTTTCCTTTCTTTCCTTTCCTTCCTTTCCTTCCTTTCCTTCCTTTCTTTCCTTTCCTTCCTTTCTTTCCTTTTTTTCCTTCTTTCTTTTCTTAGAGACAGAATCTCACTTTGTTGCCCTTAGTAGAGTGCTGTGTGATCACAGCTCACAGTAACCTCCAGCTCCTGGGCTTAGGCAATTCTCTTGCCTCAGCCTCCCAAGTAGCTGGGACTACAGGTGCCCGCCACAACGCCCGGCTATTTTTTGTTGCAGGGGCTGGGTTTTTTTTTTTTTTTTAAGAAACAGAGTCTCACTTTATTGCCCTTGGTAGAGTGCTATGGAGTCACAGCTCATAGCAACCTCCAACTCCTGGGTTTAGGCGATTCTCCTGCCTCAGCCTCCCAAGTAGTTGGGACGACAGGCGTCCACCACAACACCCGGCTATTTTTTGTTGCAATTTGGCCGGGGCCGGGTTTGACCCCACCACCCTCCTCACTGAGCCACAAGTGCCGCCCCAGGGGCCGGGTTTGAACCCACCACCCTCAGTATATGGGCTAGTGCCCTACTCACTGAGCCACAGGCACTGCCTTTTTTTTTTTTTCTTAAACAGAGTCTTATTTTATTGCCCTCAGTAGAGTGCCATGGCATCACAGCTCACAGCAATCTCCCAACTCCTAGGCTTAAGTGATTCTCTTGCCTCAGCCTCCTGAGTAGCTGGGACTATAGGCGCCTGCCACAATGCCTGGCTATTTTTTGTTGAAATTTGGCTGGGCCAGGTTTGAACCTGCCACCCTCAGTATATGGGGCCAGCGCCCTACCCATTGAGCTATAGGCGCTGCCCCTGGCTGTTTCTAAACACTGGGCAATTGAAGACATTGTCTTTTGTTTACTTATCTATCTTCTGTATCTGACATTAATTTCTAAGTTCTGACTTCTGTTTTGTCTGTGAAAAAAATTTAAGAACACATGATTTTCTGTTTTTATTTTTTTCTTGAAGTTTTTGGCTAGGGCCTGGTTTGAACCCACCACCTCCGGTATATGGGGCTGCTGCCCTACTCTTTGAGCCATAGGTGGCCCGATTCTCTGTTTTTAGATTGTTTTAAGGAAAAAAGTCCCATGGTAGGAAATATGGTATTTCTAAGGCTCCATCTGGGACTTTAATACTTAAGACC